TTTATTTGCAAGTATTTTTTTTCTACAATTGAAAAAGTATAAAGGTATAAAGATATAAAGATATAAAGTTTAGAAATATAAGCATCTAGATTTCATATTTTTCTGGGAATAATTGATCGATATTCAAATTTTTATCAATACAGAAAATTGAATTTTTAACTAAACAAAAAAAAAATTAAAATTTATTAATGTTCAATTGTTACATTAGTAATATTAGTACATTAGTAATATTAGTTCTACACAATATTTATACGTAAGAAATATTAAATCTAATTTTAACATATAAGAAGCGTCTCTCACGATAAAAATGTGTTATAAATAAAAATTTTAAGAGATTATTAACACATTTAAAATATTTATCACAAAAAATCACCTTTAAAATATTGAACGAGTTGCGTGCGTTCTATGACTTGAAAGCAGTAAAGTGATGCTATCAAATTTTAATTAGCATTAATTCTGCGGATGTTGAGGTGTATATCGCCATTCAGTGGCGATGTCATGGAAGCCGCCGGATTGATCATCATTGGTATTAGAGTTTTTTTGCACGGTGCTACCTCATACTTGCTCAAAATTGTAACGATTCCCAGTTTTGTCTGTAAAAGTCCCATACGGTTGCCTACGGGATGCAACAGTACATAACATGAAATGTCTCACAATATATTCCAACAATTAAAAAATATGAATAGCACTGCCTTAATAAAAATTCCATGTAACGTTGTCTTTTTTCAATATTATTTTACAATTAAGATCGAAAATTCCATAACTACCAAAGTTCAGTTGAATAAAATCTAAACCATTCCAATTATTGCATGCACACAAACAAACATTCGTGATTCGCGTAACAAGATCAAAAATGTAAATTTGTGTTTTAACCGATTCATTTCTAATTTCATGGCTGTATTCATTGCATCTTAATTTCTGTAATAAAAACCCATGTCTTTACCTATACATACGCGTGGTCCGTCTCCAAACGGAAGATAGATACATGATGGTCTGTTACGTTTGTTCTCCTCTGTGAATCGCTCCGGATCGAATTTATTCGGATTGGGATAGTATTCCGGGTCATAGTGCAAACCAAGCAACGAGACATAAATTGGCGTGCCCTTCTCGAGAACTAGATCGGAATTCGGCATCTTGTAGGTATCCATTGTTTTGCGATCTAGGAACGGTAACGGCGGGTACATCCTCAAAGTTTCGGATACTATCATGTCGAGATACGATAGCGAAAAGATCTGATAACACGCAAATAAGATCAATATTTTAAGCTGGCTCGCAACACTAAAGTCATTTCTGTTCTATTCAGTAGAAAATTTTGTAACAATAAAAAATAACGCATAGAGTGTTTGCATACCATGTCGTATGTGATTTTGCCGTTAGTTTTGTCGAGCGCATCAAGAATTTCTTTTCTAAGCCTGTCTTGCATTTCCGGATGTATTGCGAGTTCGTACAAAGCGAAAGCCATTGTCGTTGAAGAGGTTTCAAAACCAGCTGTGAAGAAAATAGCTGCTTGTGCTACCAGATCGTCTCCATCAAACCCTGAAGTAATAATTTACATTTTTTTAAAATTTGATTTTTTAATCATAATTAACTTTAGCTATTGGAATTATTGATTAAACGAATTGAACGAGTATTTGGATTTTTTAATGCAAGTTTTATAAAGAAATAATGCATTAGTTTTAAACAATTATTTGCTTACTAAATCCTCCTCCGATATCCTGATCTCCATAAGTTTTTCTCAATTCAATAAGCACATCAATAAGATCGTTTCTCTTTATACCGGATTCCGTGCGTTGAATGAGGGTCTCCCAAAGGGCATTACGTAAAAAGACGGTGCTTTCCTTGCCGAACACTTTCCAACCAGCTAAACGAAATATTCCTGGCAAGAAGAACATCGCAAGCATCTCGTAACCACGGAAAAAGTCGATGTGAAAAACTTTTTTGCCATGTCTACGAAACTCGGCGTCCGGATTATTCAACGAGTTCACATTAAGACCATAGGCAGTAGTACCGATTATGTCCGTAGAGAATTTGGCAGTTACCTCTCTTATATCCAATTCGATTCCTTTATCTGTCATCAATGTATCGATTTAATATTCATATTGTTGTTTTAATTACTTAATCGAAATTAGTAATTGCGATTTTTCATGGCTATTCGATATTTGGTAAACAAACATCAAAAGGCATAAAAGACCTTTACAAATTCATTACTGTTCACTTACCGTCTAAATTCAACAATTCAAGATACGTATTTAAATCATTACTGCATTCTAGCATCAGCTCGAACATCTTTTTCAGCTTGCCGGACGTAAAAATTGGCGTCAACTTTGTTCTTAAAAACTTCCAAGCTGGATTTCTGATAAAAAAGAGATTAGCATAACCCAGACGATCATTTATGTCGTCAGGCGAGCCGTATCGGTCAGCAAAGTAATCAAAGTCTTTTATTAGAATGTTTTTAATGACTTCCCGCTCGCGAATCAACAAGAACGGTTTGTCTAATACATAAAAGCCGATATAAGGCATTCCCTTGCCTTGCTCATAAAGCTCTTTCAGAACATATCCAGGAGATTTTTTCTTTAAAAGTATGCAATCCGTGAAATTGCCAAAAATTGGTGTTGGAGAAATTTCCAAAACGCCTCGTTTCTTCCAGTAGTTGAATTTACGTGTCATGTAAAGATAGAAAGTTATAATGAGAATCGTCGAAATTATTATGCCGGCCAAGCTCCAGTAACCCGTTATAAGTGCCATTGTACACGAATTCGCCTATAAAAATCAATTTTTATATTTATTTAAAAGAAAAAATGGACGATAATATAGTAACCTATCATTAATATTTATTAATTTATTAGATTACACAACAGATGTATCTTTGAATTCAAATTTAAATACGTTATATATACGTTGGAAATTAATATAAATATTAACTGTGTAAGCCATAGGTTTTAATTACACAAATCAAATCTTGATTTTAACATTTGAATTAATTTTATCTATGAAATTGCAAATACATGTAATAATTAAATACACAAACTTTCAAACATTTAATTTCTTATTAACTTATACTATAAGACTCTTCGATTTTAAACAATAATCAGAAAATATTAAGCAAAAAAATAATAAAAATAAAAATAAATAATAATAAATCAGACAATAAGAGTCTAACTTGGTGCGTAAAAATTTTCCTTCAACATATATTAATTATAGTTACATATCGATACAAAATTTTTTACATTTCGGCCTCGTCAGCTTCTTTTAGCGATAAATGATACAATACTATACGCCAATATCAATAAATTATTTTGTCAAGTGTTAATTAATGTCAATATGTTCCGCAGTGAGACGGGTCTCCAATTTCAAGATCGAAAATAAACGTTATTTGTATCGATGAAGATGTTGAAAAATTTTAATTCTCGTTAATATGTAATAATCTCAAAGCTCACATACTCACTACTACAAAAATAAGATGCATGTAACAATAATTAGTACAAAGGATTATTGCATTTTCGTAAAGTGCGTTAAAAGGACTATTTGACTCGTCAACTGTCGCGTATAGAATGTTGTCAGTTTTGTTTGACGTGTATGTCCATTATGTTAAAAATCAAAATAGATAAATATAAATTAAGATAACAATGTCATGAGGACCAAGTGTAATAAATCATCAACATTGTTATTTAAAAGAGAAGCATATGCATGATGTATAAGAATTCTGTATCAGATTGCAAATTGAAATTTTTTTCTGAAGCTTAATATATAATATGACATTTCCGAGATTAGTCTTTTGTTTAGACACTTTTCTGTATCTAAAATTCTGACATACTTTCAGTCAAAATCATAATCGAAATGCAACCTATGCTCCATGATTACGGATTGTGCGTTAATATTACAATTAACCTTCAAATGGCACACTTCGTTCGAGCACCCACTAATGGCACACTAGTGCAGCGACTACCCAGCGAACAGCCGCGACAGATACTTTGTGAAAATGTCAACATGTCAAAAATTTGAGCGGTGCGAATTCGCGCTCTTGTGCCATTTGAAGGTTAATATTATTCTTATGCTTAAAGACATTTAATTCCTTCTTTAAACTCGAATCAATTAATTATAAACACTCGATAACTTACCGCAAAAAGATATTGCGTGACACCTAAGATAAAAGATTTAATAATAAAATTCCCAAATTTTCAAATTCGCTGTCACATTATAGGACGGAACACACATGTAATCAAACTCACATGTAATCAAACACTTCAATAACTTCTGGTTGTTAACAACTGCTTATTAACAACTGTAAGAATTGAATAAAATTCTTTGTCACATCCATATATATTTTAGTATCTAAATCCCCTCCAGTCTTGTTTTTATACAGTCTTGTTTTTATACAGTCTTATCTAATTGAAAGATAAAAACTTAATTGACATATGGTTGACATAAATACTTGACCCTCGAGTCTCTTGATTAGGATGAGTCTTTTTAATGTTTCTTCAAAAAATTTTATCTTTTTCTGAATATTTTTGTTTCAGACAAAAGTTGTATAAACTAAAGAGAAGCAAATAATGGTAAAATCAATTTTTGAAAAAAAAAACTTATGCATAATGTATAATTATACTTGTGTATAATTCTTACCGGTATTTTACATTAGTGTTAATATGATACGATAAACATGCAATTTCTAATAATTTTGTTAATATTAAGTACATACAACATTGTGTACACATCATTTACTCGAGTGGCGTCGTTCTGTAATGGTTTCAAAGATCGTTATTTGATTTTCATATTAAAATCATAATAAATAAATAAAATGAAATAAAATAAAATAAATAAATAAACATAATAAATAAATATAAATATATAAAGTAAATAAAAAATAAAAATATTAATATTCATATAATAATATTACATCATCTCAATATGACTTAATATATGTTCTTTGTTGATGCTACTATCATTTATATGTATATATAAATAATAGTAAAATATATTGTTACGCTCGTCGCACTCGGGACTCTCGCGCACTCGCGTAATGAAAATTTGTTTTCCAGCGAAGGAAATTTACGATTGCGAAAATGATCTTGTCTAAATTGTTATTTTACCATTTACTTAACGTTGCAATTACGTTGTAGAAATTTAATATTTTCAACTTTTCTGATTATCTAAATTATTTCGAGGAATGACGAACGTGAACATTGGTAAGATTTCATTTCGCATTATCTTTAAATGCATATTGTGAATCATTTATATATAGATAACATTATCAAAAGACTAAAGAGTCAGAAATGAATTTTCACAAGGTAATTTGCAATGTTATCAAAATAAATGATAAAATGACAAGTCAAAAAAAACTCATTTTTGTGAGCGTAAAGTTTTTTTGTTGAAAAATAACAGATTTAACAAAATATGTATATATAAATTTCTCTGTTGATTTCGTTACAAGAAAATAATAATATGGCGCTCTTATAATCTACGACTTATAACTTCTACGAAAATGAATAATTAAAATAATATTCATGAGTGCCACTTTATACCATTTAATGATTTATCATAGGAGATAAAAACAGGTTTTGCGCATCAAAATGCAAATCAAACTTTTAACGTCGCAGATTGCTGCGTAAAAAACACGCAAGTAATAATAACATTTCTATTGCTATTTTATTCTTGATAAGAATATTGCACGTAATAATATAACGTATGATAAAAAACGTATATTAAATATTATATATATAAATACAATTTAATTCGTTTCCGTTTTATTATTGAATGTAATCTTTCTGAAAAAATAGAAAATGTTTGAAAAGAGATATTTATACAATAGAGAAACAAAAGCTTCCTTTGTTATCTCTATCTTGAGCCATCATAACATTATACGATAAACATACGATCATCAATTTTGCGTCATCTGTAAAGGTTTCGCTAATATTGTCTAATCATGCGACATTAATATGTTCTATTCAATTCTATTGCAATATCACGTAACGAAGAATGACTCTCGCAGTGATTTCATAAGCCGGATTATCATTCGCCTTCGGAGTAACTATTATGCAATCACGCGTGAATAGAGCGTGGTGCATTTCTTACGAATCATTCGGTCTTCATCCAATTCTTACGACTGTAATAATCCTACGTTAAGCTTGTGACTTTTGCGTCGGACGAAATCCGCAATTCAATGACTCCTTTGCCGTATCATTAAGAAAAGGGAGTGACGTACTGCTGCATAATATATTATATAATGTTTATTATATGTTGTAAAAGACATTAAAAACCGATTACGTATGGCTTCGTGCAATTGTAAAAAGACACGTGTAGAATCATTATCCATACCTAGTCATCGTATAACACCATTAACATTTAATCCAACATGTGCTCCGTAAACACAATTGTTTATTCTCGGCTAATAATAATTAATTTTAAAAGTAGCATGACGTAAAGACATATTTGTTTTAACGTTTTCTCGTCTTAAACACTTTTATAAAATTATATGCAAATTCGGAACGGATGTTCTCATTTATCTGCAATTGGGTCAGCTCTTCATATAAAAATAATGCAAAGTAATTCAAGTAAGCAGAAACAATTATCGATACGCACGTGAAACATGAGTACGTGATACTTCAATGTGTGTTTTGAATGTTGCTTTCCAAGTGTTTTTCCACCAACAAGCTAAGTTTCAATTCACAGCAGCTTCGAAGCATATCGGCTTAAATGTTGATGTGATTGGTTAAATTGCCATTCGTGAGAGCTCGCATTTTCCAGACCTACATGCAATGCTCTGTGCACACGAATCAGTATACATATGGTGTCTCGAAACTATTATATCTTTCTATTAGATATTAAAAATTTATGATAAGAAATCTAACGATCGTCTCAACAAGTGGAATAAAAATTTTTTTCAACTGTTATCAAGTAAAACATATTGATAAAAAAAAATTACTTTTAAATACTTCGAATATTTTATATTCTAATATTTCAAGAGATATTAAAAATTATTGGAATTACACAGTCTAACTTTGATGACATTGAATTGGTTCTCATGTGAAGTAAATGATAAACAGAGCAAATTGTGTTGCATTTTACATCAAACAGTCGTCTAAGAAATAAAAAATAAAAACATTTTTCTTATTCGATAGCCGCGATATCTGTAAAAAAATCAATTCTAAACAATTATAAAGGAATCAAGACAGCTGAAGACAAACACCGATAGTTTTGAAAACACCCTGTACATGCGCACGTAGCCGCGGGAGGACAAACTCAGATACACATATTAGAGATGTACCAGCAGGTACATTTGTAATTTCTGTTACCGGGCGAAGTATACTTATCGTACGGCACGTAATATGCCGTGCTGTACGCGAAAAAATTAGACACGCATCTCGTTAATTTTAGGGCAGAAGGTGAATTAATGACGTGGGAAGTGATGCCGACTGCAACATAGTGAACGATAATCGATACATGATGCATGGTGATTGACAGAAAGTGCCAACGTTGGCGTACAGTGTCTTGCGGATTTACGAGTTAATTGATAGTGAGTCGTGACACGTAAAAGAGAAAATTGATACGAGTAGTAGTAAAATTATTACAACGTAAGGAGAAAATCATGTCTACTTCATTCAATGTAACTTTAATACTAGATATAATTTTTTTTACATAAAGATTCATAACTGTAAAGTTTTAATGAAATATAATTAGAAATTCTGAAGTTCGAGTTAAGATAAAAAAACGCCTTGTTTTTCTTTTCAGCATTATTTTATTTTTGTCATTATAATCAGATAGCATAAGTATAAATTCAGTTTTTAAAGTTTAATAATCACCTCACTTAAAAAATTAAAAAATTAAGTTTAGGTTTATTAATTTTCGCTGTTCTCTCTTTATTTAAATTAAATAAATTGAAAATCTTTAAATTATTTTTCAGTAAGTAAACTTAAATTTTCAGATGTTCACCAGCACTGTTTTTCGAGAATAAACAGTAAGTTTCGCGTGCTTTCATTACTACTTATTCACGCAAATTGTAGGAAAGCTTTGTGCAGTCTAATGTATAATTCTGTGATTCTCGTCAAGTATACTGGTATATTATCACGTGGTTCTTGTCCGCACGATTGTACTCCAACATTAAATGCAATGCGTCAAATACGGGCCCCGTTAAACATCGCGGATCTTCTACTTATACATACATATATCACAACTACATCGCCACGTGACAAGCGTGCCCGCGCATTGTAATCTCTACCTCGATTACGTGATTTTCCATTGGAGCCTCGAGGCGAGCTGGATCGCGCTGCTGGGAACACAGAATTGCAGGGCGTTTATTATCGGAAGTGGCAATCCAGCCAATGAGAACAAAATGATCGAGAATTGAAGCTATTTTCTCGATCTCTAATAGCAACATACTCGTCTCCATTTAGGTCTCGTATCTCGCGTAAAATAATGTGAGCTTAAAGAGGGATGACGAGATTCCGGGGCCCGTTCCTCGGACAGAGGTGGCAACTGCAGTCCGCCACCATGAAGCGGCTCGGTATCCGCGTCGAGTCACGTGAGGTCATCTGAAAGGACCCCGACTACTGTTTCCGCGCATGCAATCGCTACGCGGCACGCAGGGCCCTAATTTCCCGTGTGTATGTGGAATTCTCTCCGCTCCGACGGTCCCCGCCGCCTTCTCATGGGCGCAGCTCTTCCGCGAACGGGCTCCCGGCGCATTGCGCGACCAGCAACAAAGTAACGTGCTAAATATACATTCTCTTCGCTCCTCTCCTTTCGAAACTCTTATATATGAACTTCTGAAAGAAGCGAGAGAGAGAGAGAGAGAGAGAGGGATAAAGAAGGCGAGAATGGAAGGAGGAGAGTGCGAGGAGGAATTCTCTCGTGCAAGCTCGCGCACGCGAGCGGCCGTGCATGCCCGCGGCTGCGGGTCTTCACCCTCGCTCTCACCCTCGTTGTAATGAGACCTATACGTACGTTATATCCGATAGTTACGTATGTACAACACGCCTGCATCTCGCGCAAGAGGACAAAATTACGAAAGGCCGATGCGTTTTGACAAGTGAGAGACGCGGAAAAAGATAGTTGCACGAAGAGACGAAGGGCGGAAAAGCGATGTGGGGGTAGTAATTTAAGTAATTCGCTAATGACCATTATTATTTTGCGATAATGACTGAGAATCGATACTTTTGTTCCTGTACACGGCCAAAGACCACCCTGGTATACAGGATGCCGATAAAATCACGCTCTGCCGTCGTACAGGTTGCAGACTGTGATTTTTGTACGGCACCAATGGAAATCCGATGATTACTGGTCTCGACGGCAAGACATCGATACGTGATAAGGTGTCGGTAAGAAATT